TTAAATCAGAATCCAAAAAATGGCTCACATACTTTATGTATGCCTCTTAAACCTCTTTATTCTGTAACATCTCGAACTCTCTCCCCTTTTAAATAGGCCACTTATTTGCTAGAAAACTAGATTGTTTTCCCCGGAGACTGTCCCATATTCTGAATTTGACTACTTCCTTGTTGTGTCATGTCACTTAAAGAAAATATTCTTCAAAAACCCGTATGTCCTATAAGCCTGTGGTTATATCTAAGCTTGACTGAATTCTGCTTCAACTTGAAGCAAGAAACACACTGAGGTTGTGCAAAGCACTGAACCAAATTTCAATCGATAAAACACTTTTGATTAGTCATCTTTGTCATTTCTCAAGTTTCATTTAGTTATTTAATATTAAGATTCTGTGAGATATTCATTCATATCTAAATGTAAGTTCAAGCTTTTATCCTTCAATAATGTTTTGTTAATGTATAAAGTTATATAAGTTGTATATAAATTCTAGAAATTAAAATTTAACCAAGTTACATTTGCGAATGACACTTAATGAATAAGTGAAGCAGAATAATGATAATGACATAATAAAACATTTTTTTTTGTTGGCTTGTGACTTCACAAAGCTATAGTTTGTTGACCATTAAGTATGTTTAAGTTCTATGAATTATTTATGATCTCATCTGCTGTTTACATAGTCTCTTTTGTAATCTTTTTATAAATTTTGAATATAAACCTAGAGGTTTCCCCCTTTGAGCTATTTACTTTATCTTAAAATGGAAAGAATGGGTAAATAATATATTGACAGGCTAGGGTAGGGAGCAAAAGAAACTTCTGGAAATTATGTTCACCATATGTATATTTCTAAAAGACAGCTGAAGAAGAAATAGAGTGTGAATATAAACATATTTTATACACAACACACATATTCTAGTACAGTTATATATCCAATTACAAATAATTTATTATATTAATCTGTCTGTGAGTTTTCTTTTATCTCAAGTAGTAGATATGCTATTTAAATGTTACTACAGTTTATAGAATCTAAGGATCCAAACACTCGATGTTCTTTGGTTTTCTATAATTGATTTTAACTTAGTTCTTTAACCCTTTTATCATCAAATGGAAAAAAATTCAATCTGGATACTTCAAGGTGACTCAGTCCCTTATGACAAAACATCTCTTTAAAATAAAAGTGTCCTTCAATCCAATTTAAGAACCTTCTTCTTAGGATAGCATCTGAGCAGGGAAATCTTGCATAGGATTAGGGTAGTGGTGTGTGATGAAGAGCACTGGTATGTTTGCCTAGTATGTTCTATAGCAGGGGTCCCCAACCCCCAGGCCATGGACCTACCAGTCCATGGCTTGTTAGGAAGCAGGCCACACAGCAGGAGGTAAGTAGTATGAGAGCAAGGGAGCATTACCGCCTGAGCTTTACCTCCTGTCAGATCAGCAGCAGCATTAGATTCTTGTAGGAGCATGAACCCTCTCTTGAACTGCGTACACAAAGGATCTAGGTTGCATGCTCCTTATTAGAATCTAATGCCTGATGATCTGAGATGAAACAGTTTCATTTCAAAACCATCCCTCCTACCACTCGGTCCGTGGAAAAATTGTCTTCCACAAACCAGTCTTTGGTGCCAAAAAGGTTGAGAACTACTTCTTTATAGCAAGAGAATGGTGCCCTACATTCTGCTCTCCTACACTTTAGCTGCTAACTGTGCAACTGAAAATAAAAGATTCATAATTAAGCTTTTCTGCAAAAGCAGAAGTGTGGCTTTACCTCACTTCTCCTTCCAAATATTTTATGAGTGCATCTGATTGGGTGGTTCTGAATCATGTCCAAACCCTAGCTGCAAAACATGAATTGTTAGATTTCCAGGCTTTGGTCTAGGTAGGAGCACTAGGAGGAAAGTGGAATGGAGGTTGAACACCAGTCTATCCTATCCATTTACCCTAACTCCCTTGTACAGGAGGTCTTCAGAAAAACAGCTGCATCCTCTCTCTACTCTCTCCAGAAGTATATATCCAATCCTGTTATGGGTTGAATTGTGTACATACACTGAACTCTTAACCCCCAGTACCTCAGGATGTGACTTTATTTGACACAGACTTACTGCAGATATAGTTAGTTGAAATGAGGTTATGCTATAGTAGGGTGGGCCGCTAATCCAGTATGACTAGTGTTCTTACAAAAAGGGGCAATTTGGATACAAACATACATAGAGGAAGAACACCATGTGAATGTGAAGAGGGCCTCTGCAAGCCAGAAAAAGAGCCTGGAACAGATCCTTTCCTCATGGCTCTCTGAAGGATTCAACCCTGCCAGCACCTTGGTTTCAGACTTCAAGGCTCTAAAACTAAGATAATATGTTTCTGTTGTTCAGGCCATCCAGTGTGTAGCCCTTTGTACCACATTCCCCTAGCAAACTAATACAAACCCCTTCTTGATGCATGCTTTTTCACTCAGCTGAGCAGTGTCAAGGCGCAGTAAGCCAGTAATTCTTCCTTGGTTAGCTTCCATATTTCTTCATTCAGGGTCATGAAACTTAGCTGGGATTTCTTTGTGCCCCTTGAAAGTAATGGGCAAATTAAGAAGGATGTGCTATGGTCTGAATGTGTTTCTATAAAATTTAAATGTTGAAACCCTAACTCCCAAGGTGATGATATTAGGAGGTAGGGTCTTTGGGAGGTAATTAGGTCATGGGGGTAGAGCTATGCTAAACAGGATTAGTGTTATTTAAAAGGCCCAAGAGAGATCTGCCTTGATCTGGAACTTCCCCACCTCCAGAACTGTTGGATCCTGGATTTCCCAGCCTCCAAAACTGTTGTTTATAAGCTACCCACTTTGTTGTAGCAGCCAAAACAAAATAAGATGGGGTGTCTTCTTGCCCTGGTGGTATGGGTAAGCCTCCAACTGGAGTAATCTCCAGGTAAGAAATGAATCCTAGTTGGCTATTTTCAGCATCACCCCCAAATCTCAGTATTTTCTTGGGGATTTTCCATTTTTCCCAAGGATAGTCAGCATGGAAGGAGTAGTATTGTTCTCCATAATGACTTTATATTATGTCAACTTAAGTATTATGGAACTAGGTTTCTTGCAGTTTCCTTCTCCACATCATTTTGGCCATGTGACAGTACTCCTCCCATTGAGATATGGGTCTCTGTTCTCTTGAGTCTGGTTGTCCCTATGACAGAGTGATGCAACATACTCTGAGGCTAGGTCTTTAGGAGAAACAGCTTCCACCTGGTCTTTCTGGACAACCCCATCTGGGAGAGATTCCCCAGCAGAGAAAGAGACTGCCTGTCAGCGTTCCAGCCAACAGCTAGCATCACCCATCACATGTAAAAGAGGAAGGGACTCCAAGGTGACTCCAGCTGCAGAGTATCTAATCACATAGCATGAGAGATGCCAAGCTAAGCCAAGCCAATCCCCAGAATAGCGAGAGATGATAACATAATTATTACTGGTTTTAAGCAACTAAATTTTGGTATGATTTATTATACCTAGTAGATAATTGGATTAATCTCTTACTTGTGCCTATTTACAACTCTGATTTCCCAAAACTTTCCTATTCTCTTCTCAACCTCATCCAACAATAGAATCTCCAGTAGTGAAGAGAAAAACCAATCATTCAAGTTTGCATATTATTCCTAGCAGCTTAAAAATGTTTATTTCAAGCTGTGAACCTGTGTTTTCATGGGGAAAGTGAGAAAAGAACTTGATGTTCAGTGTTTCAGATTATTGCCACCTGTCACTCTTTTATAGACAACAGGACTCAATAGATACATACTTTCAAAGACAATACTTTCTGCCAACAGATGAGTGGATAAAATATGCTCTATATATACAGTGGAATAGTCAATCATGAAAAGGAATAAGTCTTGCACTCACTGCAACATACATGAACCCAGAAAACATTATGCTAAGTGAAATAAGTGAAACACAGAAAGACAAATATTGTATGATTCCACTTACATGTGGTACCTAGAATGGGCAAATTCATACAATAGAAAGTAAAATAGAGGTTACCAGGGACTGGAAGGGAAAGGAAACAGGAAATTATTATTTACAGAGTACAAAGTTTCTGTTTGGAATGAAAAAAAATGTGGAAACAGATAATGTTGATGGTTATGTAACACTACTTATAAATGGTTAAAATGGTAAATTTTATATTATTTATGTGTATGCATATGTATATACACAGTTGTTCTTTAAAAGACTGTAAACACTTGGCTTTTTTTTTTTAAACATATCTGACAAATTTGTTTGACAAATACTTGCTTAATTGCTATCAGGTACCAGGCATTGTGGTAGGCAGTGAAAAAATAAACATGATTAAAACACAGGTAGCGCCTTCCCTGTAATCAAAATCCCATTTATTCCTAAAGGCCTAGCGTAGATGCAGCCACCTCTTCATTTATTTCTTTGAACAAAGATTTTTTTAGTAACTGTGAAGGATATAAGAGTAAATAAATCATGGTTCTTACCCTTCAAGAATCTAGTACCTACTTAGGAAGATGGAACATGTGCACTAAAAGATAAGAGAGCTTACCTTGTACTATTTTTTTGACAAATATTATTTAATTGATAGCAGATCCTTGGGAGAGTTGACAGGAAAACAGTCACTCTATGGTAGATTGATGGGTTGGAGAAGGTGGGACTTTGAGTACATAAAGGAGGTCATACCTTGTCCAGTGAGCAAGACAGCAGCATGAATATGTTTGGAAGACAATGGGTAGCTGTATGGATGGTTTGTATAGTAGATTTATATGAACTGTAGAATGTACTTTTATCTTTAGATGGTATCTAAAGGAGGATACAAGCCATAAGAAATGTATACATTTCCATCAAAAGGCTCATTTTTATTTTGTTTTTCTTTACCTGTTCGGTATATCATAGTGTTGCTTTATATTCTCATTTGGTTGATATTTTATATTATATGCAGTTAAGTTTATACAGTTAAGTTTCCATTAACGGCATTATTAACATTTTTAAATTTGTTTAATCTCTATTCTTTCAGGAAAACAAAGTCAAGCCACCCAATTTGACCACTAAAAAAATGTTCAGGGCATCTCTGACTCAAGCCACTTCCATGAAACCTGCCTGTGCTCAAAATCTTCTACCATGTTCAGCAGCAGTGGACCACAAGGTGGCGCCTTCAGTCAGCCTGCCAACATCACGCATTTTCTCACCTTTGCACCTGCAGCCAGAGTCTGTTGAGGGTAGAAAGAAATCCCTGCCTATCAGGGCTCCACAAGTACATTTGGAAGTATTAATGCCCAACAGAGGAAATACTGAAGTTCAACACACGAATCTTAGCTCCCAAAGTAACATCACTTCTAAATTTGTACCAGTTTTCAAAAATAAATTGTTAGAAATGAACAAAAATACCTCAGCACTTGGCAGCCCAAAAAGAAAACAGCATGTTGTGACACACTCTAACTTGTTTTCACACAAAACTAGTATGATCGAGCATGATAAACTCAATTTAGGTCCAGCTATTAAAAAAAGATCTAATAGTAACATTCAGATGCAGGCTGCTAGCAATCAGGAGAATTTCAGACTTCTGCAAGAAAAAAAAATAGAGTCCTGTGAAAATATGACAAAATTTCCCTCTTCTAATCAAAAATCGACTGTAAGCTTAAACAAAAGTAAGCAACTATCTAATAATGCAGTATTTCTGATGTCAAATAACAATTTAGGGATTATAAAAAGTGCTGTTGACTTCCAAATGAATGGAAAAGAAAATTTAACAGGCAAACATATAACACAAATGTTAGGGAAAAGCCATGGGTCACTAAAACTGAAAAGACAACCACACATTTTTGAATCAGAAGGAGAAACAGAAGATCCCCGACTGCTACAGCAGCAATCAGAAAATCAAGCTAAAGAAGTTGGTACAAGTGACCACAGGTTGATAGTAAGCAAAATAGCCCATAGGTCTAAGAGAAAATTATGTCCAGAGTCTTCCAAAACTTCAAAGAAGCATCATTCCGTTACTGTGCACTATGACCAATCCAGTTCTTCTAAGAAGCAGGTAAAAATAAAATTATTCTGACACTAATTATCATATGCTATACATTTAAAACCCCTAAATAAAGATTTAAATGATTTCCCCAAGATCATCTAGAGCCATCTAATTAATAAACAGAATATCTACCCTAGGGCAACTGTAAGTATATGCAGTTAATTTGTAACAAAATGTGATTCTTCAATCTAATACAGATACTTCACTCAGATAAATCAAAATCTAAGAAATCTCTCATCATTCCCAATGCTTAGAACGTGGACCTGAAAGAAGAAAATGTCTACCAGGTAACAGATATCTTTTGATTTGTGTTTACATTATCTGAATTAGGAATGCCAAATGTAGGGGTCTCTACCCTCTTGGTAAGAAGGAGCTACTTTTAAATTCTTTGAAACACTAAAATCAGCAAAGAAATAGGACATGGTGGGAACAGTACACCCTTGAATAAGAACTGTACACAGCAGCTGTTTTGCAATGACTCCAATGAGGGGCAAATGCAAGTGGTCCACTCTGGGCTTCCTCCCACTCTGTTCTGGGGATCCTTGCAGACTAGGAATCACTCACACAGCAGCAGCAGACTATCTCAGGACAGAAGATTTGGACAGCTTCTAGAATATCTACTTCTTGGGATACTTACCCAAGCTAATAAACCTGAAATGATGTTTCAAAGGTCAATGATTTAGTTAAAATTTACTCCAAAAGTGCTACAGTGTTGACTATGTTTAAACTTGATATTCAGTTGCTAACACTGAGTTCATGGCACTGAATTTACAAAATAATACATCTGGAAATTACATTTCATTTTGTTCTGCCATCTGTTCTGTTCTAAGAACAAACATATTACTAAAATATCCATAAGTTCTTGTTTACGTAGAACTATTGGAATACTTTCAATTCAGATTCTTTAAGAACCAACTAGAAAACACTTTCTTTTCCAACTGCTATTTCTTCCTATAACTAAGAGAATTTTCAATCTGATTTTAATTAACCAAAAGGTATTTAACTTTTTTCCTGTGTACATTATGTTGTTGTATTTTATGTACTTTTTGACATCTTAACATTTTAATGCAGTCAGAAGGTGGTTGAGGAAAAAAGGCAGGTGCTTTGAAGATGTTATTTGCATTTTAGCAAACTGACACAAGAACAGAAAATCAACAACACGTTCTCACTCATAGGCAGGTGTTAAACAATGAGAACACATGGACAGAGGGAGGGGAGCATCACACACTGGGGTCTGTTGGAGGTAATAGGGGAGGGACGACACGGGGTAGGGAGGTTGGGGAGGGATAACGTGGGGAGAAATGCCAGATATAGGTGACGGGGGGATGGAGGCAGCAAACCACATTGCCATGTGTGTACCTATGCAACAGTCCTGCAAGTTCTGCACATGTACCCCAGAACCTAAAAAGCAATAAAATATTTTTTAAAAAGAAAGAAATCTATTATAGGTTTCATATTGTTTTAGAGGTATAGCACTTTCTCACTTTGAACTACTTAAGTCCTTACACAATTTTTAAAATTAAAAAGTCATGCAGGAGTGGGGGCTTACACCTGTAATTCAAACACTTTGGGAGGCTGAGGCGGGCAGATTGCTTGAACTCAGGCATTCCAGAGCAGCCTAGGCAACATGGGTGAGACCTTGTCTCTGCAAAAAATATAAAAATGTAGGGCTGGGTGTGGTGGCTCACACCTGTAATTCCAGCACTTCGGGAGGTCAAGGGGGGTGATTCACCTGAGGTCAGGAGTTTGGGACCAGCCTGGGCAACACGGTGAAACCTCGTCTCTACTAAAAATACTAAAAATTAGCCGGGCGTGGTGGCAAGCGCCTGTAATCTCAGCTACTTGGGAGGCTGAGGCAGGAGAATCACTTGAACCCAGGAGGCAGAGTATGCACCATTGCACTCCAGCCTGGGTGATAGAGACTCCTTCCCCCTCCCCCGCAAAAAAATAGCTGGGCATGGTGGTATGTGCCAATAGTCCCAGCTACTTGGGGGGCTGAGGTGGGAGAATTGCTTGAGTCTGGGAGGTGGAGGTTACAATGAGCTGTGTTTGCCACTGCACTCCAGCCTGAATGACAAAGTGAGACCCTGTCTCAAAATAAATATTAAATAAAATTTTAAAAATTATTTCATCAGGTAGGAGTAACATAATGAGGAAATTTTTAATATTTCTTTAAATTTATGGGGTACAAGTACAATTTTGTTACATCGATGTATTATAGTGGTAAAGCCAAGGCTTTTAGTGTATTCATCACTGGAATAATATACATTGTACCCGACTAAGTAATTTGTCATCATTCACCCCCTCCCACCCCATACTCTTCTGAGTATTGTCCATCATTCTGCACTCTATGTCCATGTGTATACACTATTTAGCTCCCACTTGCAGGAATCATTACAGAAAATAATTTCCCCTAAATAGAAACTTGATACATACTCCTGTAAAAACCTTGAGTAGTACAGAGCAGTTTCAAGAAAAAAGTTAAAAAAAAATCTGTAATTTCTCTTTGCAGAGATGACCGTTCTAAGCATACAATGAACACTCTTCTAGAAGTCTCCCACACTCCTGTGACCATGAAGTCAGCTCTGCATACTACTGTGGAACCTCCTTTTTCACTCAACAGTTGTTTCTTTTTAATGTTTGCATAGCATTTTGTTACATGTGGGTGTACTGTATTTACTAGTTCGCTACTGATTGGCACTTGAGTTATTCCCAATTGTTCACTCTTACAACAATGTCATGTAAATAGTCTCATGCAGATTTTTGCAAAATATCCAGTGATCTTATACAGTAGTTTTGATAGTTGAAAATTTCTTTGTTTTGCCCTATTTTATTATTGAAATTTTAATTTATCATTTTTATTATCAAAATTTTCAAACCATCTAAAGCACAGATAAGAGCATGAAGAATCTCTAAGTACCTATTGCCCAGCTCTACCAGTTATTAATATTTTGTCACTGTTTCATCTGTTCCTCACAGACATGCCCTTTTTTGCTGTAATCTTTTAAAGCAAATTCAAGACATCATCAATTTTACCCATAAACACTAAAATATATATTTCTAACATCAGATATAGTATATTTTTTTTTCAGCAAACAAGAATGTGTATATATATATAACGTTTTGGGGATCTCTACTATATCTCTGCAGGCTCGCTAAATTTCACTTTTGTTTTTACATGCAAACTAACAGGAAGCCCTGAATAAATGTAAAACCTATTTCTCAACAAACTAGAGTCTTTATTAGGGTGGAGATTTCTGTTTTCTCTAATGCTCATTAGCATCTTCTGTGTGCCAGGCAGTGGGGAAAACAGTGTCCACTCCAGAAATGGATGAGACAGCCATGGCCTGAGCCCTGAGGGCTGCTGGTCTAGTCTCAATCAGATTCATTCTGGGTTCCTGGTACAGACTTAGGGATATGTATGTATTGAAGCACATGTCCAGAATGACCTTCTTCTCCATATTACAAATAAATTAACATTTGAAAAAACAGAGAAATGGAAATGGAGCTTCTCAGTCCATATTATTCTGGCTTTCAAACATTTTAGATTTTTAATGTATAAATTATTTGTTGCAACATATTTAAAAGAAACAAAAAATCTTCATTGGAAATTCTACTGAAACAATTATTATATAAAAATAGCCAGTAGAGATCCAAGTATAAGTAACTGATCTTTTAAATGTGATTTATTGTCTCCACCACTTCACTAAACCATTGCAATTAAAAGCAAAAATAAACACAAACTCTCCTTCAAACAGTAAATGTGACTCCTCCTCCTGAAATTGTGTTTAGTTAATTTGCTATATACCTTTAAGCATTTCTGTTTTCCAGAATTATCTCTATTTCCCAATTATTTTACCATTTTCATAAGGATACACATTTTGTCTGAAGCCCATTTTTGAGTATGGTTTTCTCATTCTCAAGTTTGTATTATAGATACCTAGTAGACTGCTATAAAGAGTGGTATGTCATTTTGTTTGTGAGGCTGTGCTGAAAATAACATTAGTAAGTATGCATATTTGATGAGCACAGTCATCCATAGCATGTAGTCATTCCTGAAGCCAGCCCTCCCCACTGTTCACCTACTCCCAGGCTGCCTTCCTGATGCTGCCCACTCACTATGCCTCAGGTAATGGAGATGTACTTTATTATTACGCTCAGCAAAATAATGAAAACCATACATCCACTGCTGAAGTAGTATGCAGCATCTTCCAGTTCTTTATGAAATCTTGGTAGTCCCCTCCTATACTCCATTACTGTCTAAAACTTAGAATATATAGTATAGTACTTCAGTTAGATCAGTGTTAACCTACATAGCAAAACCTGCCATGTTAATGTTAGTCTATTTTTTGTTTAAAGTAGGTTTTATTTTTATCTTACAATATTTATCCTAATGAAAGTTATAAAAATATATGCATATATGTATACATATATGTGTGATTTAATATATATTTTTGATTTCATATTTCATGTTCCAAGAAGAGGTTCTAAGTAAAATTTCTGTGTTAAATCACCAGAGAAATCAATTAAGATTTTGGTTCATTTTAAACACTGCAATTTTTGAAAGCCAAAATAATTCCAAATCTAATTAGGGGGAGCTACATTTTACTTCTTTAAGTTTTTGGTGATTTATATGCAGCGTAGACCACCCTCCCACTAGAAATTATTCTTATATTACAATTGTATATTCATTTTGGAACCATTTTAATTTTAAAACCATAAGTAAATAATTTTATGTTTGCCTATGTCCAGCAGTTTAAGAAATCAGCCATTACTTGAAAAAACCTATGGCAATGTCAAAGTTAATGCCAAGAATCATATTTCTAGGAATGCAAAAGTGCTTCTCTTATATATTAGGTTTCACAGTATTCTTTGCCTACTATATTTGTTTTTATTTCTATTATATATCATAATTATACATTTTTATTTTATTTGCATTTTAAAAAATGTGGACTTGTTAATGACAAGCTTTTATTTGACTAACCAATTGACCAATTTTTGCTGTTTTCAAACTGCATATGATGGGTTATTACACTGAAACTGCTAATATAGGGTATATTTACAAATATTTTAAAATGTCATGGTCCTTATGTTTTGATGCTTAAAATGTTTATGTTGTTGAACCCTACATAATGTCTTTTTCCAAATTAAAAATAATAAAGATATTTCTAATAGAAAGAGTGACTCTGTATAGGAATGGAAAGGCTTAGATAAACTACAAATTTCTTTCCCTCTGTGGTTCCATTTCTTCACATGCATTTGCTGCTGGACTCACGTAAACTACCTTAGGTCCTTAACACTTCATAGAACTTTTATTCTCAAAAGTCCTTCATTCTTTCATTTGACAGATATTTTAGTATTTGCTATGTGCAACCATTATTATAGACACTTGCAGTATATCAGTGAACACTGACATTACATTCTAGCAGGGAGACACAGATGATAAGGATAAGTAAGTAAATTATATAATGCAATAGAAAATGGCAAGTACAGTGGAAAAAAACAGAGCATGGTAAGGGAAATAGTAAGGGTAGGCTTCCTTGAGCAGAGACTTGAACGAGGAGAGCAAGTTGGCCACATGGAGTTGTCCTCTGAAGGACATGCTTTTTAGGCATAAGGAACAACCCGTGTGCTGGTAGAATATTTCAGGGGGAGCCCAGGTTAGAGTAAAAGGAGCAGAGAGAAGGAATTGCTTTATCCTGACTGAAATGGCGTTGAGGCCAAAAAAGTGAAGTGATCTGACTAGGTTTTAATAGGACCCTTCTGACTGCTGTGTTACGAATAGATTTGGGGTGAGGGTGAGGGGTGAGAAGAAACAGGGACACCAGTTAAGAATCCAAGAAACAGATGGCAATAATGGCTTGCACCACTACGGTAGCAGTGGAAGGTATGAGCAGTGGGGATTCTGAGGGTAGAGCCCACTGGCTTGGGGATTTAAGAGAAAGAGGTGTCTAAGATGGTACCAAGATTATTGGCTCACTTGGAAGCATGGGGTTATCATCAACTGAAAGGAGAGGAGTGGGTTTTGGAGTAAGAAGACTGAGAATTGACCATGAGATTTCACACATGGGAAGCATCGTTATCCTTAGGAGCAGTTTCCGTGGAATGGATCTAAGAGATAAGGGAGGTTGGAATTGGAAATCCCAAGAACAGACAGCTCCTTTGAGAAAAGTCATCAGTAGACTTTTCTAAATCCTTTTTTTCATTTTCTTCTAAATTGTTTTTTTGATTATCTCCTTTAAATGCTGTTCTCCCATGGCCCCTGTAATCTTAACATTTCTGGATAGATTTTTCCAGTTTCCTTTACCAACTGGAATTAAGTACTCCAGGGGACTTGAAGGAAAAACACATTTGGGTCACTGGAGAAATGGGAAGAAGGCCATTCCAAAGAGAGACTATGAGCAAAGGCATGAAGATGCATGTGTACTTAGGGAGCAGTGGATGCCGATTCTGGTGTGGTTAGCATGAGCTTCAGGTGGGGACCAGAATGACTGCAGATGAAAGGGGGAGGTTGTCCTAGGCCAAGGCCATGAAGTCATCCAGAGGCTTTCAGAAAACAAAACCAGAGGGCAGAGATGGAAAATCAGACTCCAGGGACAGACCCAGAAATGGCAGCTCCTGGAAAGCTGAGAGCACTATGTGCTACAGAGGTGGAGTCAGAGAGGAAGCTGCACTTTGAAGCTTGAGCTGCTGCAAGGAGAGTGTTGCTTTTTAAAAACAGAAAATGAAGGCATGGTAAGAAACAATGTGAGCAGATAGACGCCTGGTTTATGTGTTACCAACTGGGTTGGTGGCATTAGTCAAAGACCCTGGTAAAGAGAACCAATCGATAATGAGACTGAATCTCAGGAACTGACAGCATTTGAGAGTCATCCACAGAGACACGTCAGTGGGAGGTGTGCGTGCGAGTGCAGGGAGTGAAGCGCAACTGATGCTGGAGGAGTGGGGAGGAGGAAGGAGGATGGAGACAGTCGGGCTCTGGCAAGAACGCAGAGGTGAGGTCAGGGAGGCTGGGGAGAAGGGAGTGTCAGGAGCTCACAATGTCAAGTACGGTGAAAAGTCCAGGAAAAGGACCTGAAAAGAGATGAGGGGACTTAGTGTCTGAGGGGGTTTGAATGGCCACCACAATCCAAACGCATGTCCTGAAGATGTGAGGGGTGGTCAGGCATGGAGGACACAAGGGCCCAAGGCCTCTGTGAGAAGCTTGGCCGGGAGGGAGCGCAAAGAAAGATCAAAGGTAGCACAAACAAAGAAGCAAATGGGTAGACACTTAGATTAAGGCAGGAAATTCAAAAGTACCTAGTGAGAATATAAAAACAGAATTTTTTCATTTTAACCTTTCCCCTATGATTTTTTAAATTTGGGGAACCTGCTACCACTTAGTATTAACAGAAGAAAACTCATAGTCATCTTTGTTTATTGAAGAGTAATATGACTGAATCTTTAAATATTATATATATTTTTAGTCCGGTTTTCTGCAGTAACATTTTTTCCAATTTCCATAAAAAATAAAATGCATTAACGTTGTATTTCACAAAGATCTTCCTGACTGCTAATATATATTCATTATATTATGACATTTCTGAATTTAAAAATATTCAAGAAATGTT